ACAATGGCGGTACTTGCCAGTGTTATATTCATTTTTCATTTTTTTGAAAACTAGGTGTTTTTTTTTACAAAATTCCTTTTTTTAAAATTTGAGACCCATTTATTTTTCCAAAGTTTCTACATATACATAAATGAATTGCCAATCACAATTTTGCTGCATATCACTTTGCTTATATTATCCTAATATAAGACTAAAACATACATGAATAACTTTATGGTAATTTTCATTTTACTTCTTTTTTCCAACATTTTTTATTTGAATTAGAAACAGGATTGTTTTACATGACAATCCCAGTTCCCTTCTCCCACCCGTCCTCCCCTACCACCTCCCCCAACTAAAACCTTATCTGTCACATATCTTTTCTGCTCCCCCTGGATGGTGAGGCCTTCCCCAGGAACATGGGTTTCTGTGAGGAAACCTTACAAAATTCCTTTTTAGAGATTATAGTACGATTATGTCATGTCAGCATTGCTTTTTTGATGAAACAACTGACACAAGTAATAGGATATTTTAAATTCCATTAGACCTTTGTCTTTTTGTTGTTGTTGCTGTTGTTGCTGCTGTTGTAGTCCTTAGCTATTTAAGACTAACTGCTACATGTTCAATATCTCATACCTGTGGGCCTTTAGAGATCTTGTCCACCTTTGGTAAAAAGCTTCCCTCATATTTCTTCTTTATTTAAAAATATATTTCATTTTTCATACCAGCCCTAGTTCTCACTCCCTTCCATTCTCACATGCCCCCATCTCTCCCCCTTCCCACCTTTAATCCACTCCTCATAGTATCGCTATGATACTGGTAGGCATACAAGTATCTTTTCATGTTTCTTTTGATGATTTAGGGTTTCTTTTTAGTAATTATCTGATTTAGGTCATTTGTGAAATTTTCCTTGAGATTCACTTTCAGAAATAATTTATATATCCTGGATGCTAATCCTTTGACATTTGAGTATGTCACAACAAATTTCCATTTAGTATCTGGTCCTTTGTTAATATTTTCAATGTTTTATTCTTCTATTTTTGTGTCTTCTTTAAATTTTATCTGTGTATCTGAGTCATATTTATTCTGCTGTATTTTCCTATCAAAGCTTTAAAATCTAATCTTTATTTCACCTGCAACTACTTTTGTAAATTGCAAAGCAAGGTTCCAATATAATTTTTGCATATATATGACATCCATAGCACTGCATACAGTGCATCATTTATCATGGACTCTGTTTTCATATGTCAGCTCTCCACGGGCTAATGGGTCTCATGATTATTTCATTTCCCGAGCACTATGGACACATTAGTCTCCCCCTCACCTGCACCAGACTGTCTTTATTATTCTTGCTTTATGAGACTCCTAAAGTCTGGTAGAACAAGTTCCCACCATTATCTTAGCTATCCTTGGTTCTTTTCTCTTCCATATAAAATTTGAAATAGGCTTGTTGAAGTATACTTAAAATCCTATCTAGCATTTGACAGGAATTACATTGAATTAGCAAGTTAATGGGGGGGGAGCATTTGCAATGTTAAGTTCTTATCCACAGCCCAGTTCCAAATTCAGTCTTCTTTATGCCCTCAGAGTCTTGATTTTTCTCAATAAGTATTATGAACATCCGTTACTAGATTTGTACTTACATGGTTTATATTTGTTGTTATTAGAGTATTTGGGCTTTCTTTCTTTTTTGCTTGTTTTTTACTTTAGGGATAAGGATCAAATCAAGGGCTTCAAGGATACTAGGTAAGTGCTCTACTACTGACCCACACCCTCAGCTCCGAACACTTTAAATAAAAATAATCTGCCTTGATTATGGGAAAGGGAAAGTCGTTGTCTCAGTTGTATATCCCCACTGGTGAGTGTCTATTTCCAAACCCATCAGCGTACAGATGGCCCTGACTGAACTCAGTAGGTCACAGAACAAAAAGACATGAATGTAAAAAGGGGACTTAAAGAGAGGAGCCCAGTGGGGCATGACATGGCAAAAGGAGGATGAGAAAAGTTGGAGTGTGAGAGCAATCAGAATCCATTATATGTATGTATGGAATTGTGCAAATTTTATTAGTAAAAGCGTTGTCTGTTGTAAATATGAATGGAATTGGCCTTTGTATGTGAGACTGTCTAAAGACTTTACTAACCTCACTAAGAATTTGTAGGATAATTTTGAGATTCCCCATGAAGACAAACACATCATTAAAAACAATAACAAGTGTGGTCTTTCCATATACTCAAGGTTCCCTTTGTTCCCTTTTCATGCCCTGGATAAGACTTAAGGTGAGTGCCAAATAGATTCAGGGATGGAAGGCATTGTTATCAGATTACTTCTGTTATAATTACTGCTTTTCATAACTTACAAATAATAATACTTAGTACAACAATGTGGTAGAAAACACTAAACCAAGTTAACACAGCCCCCCTTCTGTTTTCCTTTTTCTAGTACTCTACCATGAAAATTTACTGAATTTTACCAGCTAACTTTCGGTATATGTTGAGAAGATGAAATGGCTGCTTTCCTTTTAATATGTTAACATGGGCATTATATATTCTATGCACTCATTCCTAGAAAAGTGGAATGATATATTTTACTGGTGACTCTGAAAACAGCCCAGCTTTCTCTGCTTTACCCAGCACCTCCTGGAAGCCCCAGGGCTTCCAGAGACGTGCTGAAACTCATGTGACTACATACCAGGGGTGCTGTCCTACAATTGCAAAAGGCATCACTACTCACTGTTGCCAAGGCTGGAATGGAAAGCCTCTCTGCTTTCTGTGTTTGTTGCCACCAACTAACTTACCTAACAAACCTAAAGGTTTTCTCCAGAGATCTAAAGATTATATTATAGTCTCCATTAAATACAGTTTATTTTCTTTATCAACTGTTTTTTTTTAAAAACTGAGAAAGAAGGAAACAGCTGTTTTCAGATGCATTCTCTGTTTCCACTGAAATATTGTTTCACACATAGCTGTATCTTGTGAATAATTGTGTACTTTAAAGATATTTGGAGGTATACTATATTAATGATTAAGATCCAATTTTCTTACAGTGTTATCAGGGTTATAATCATGTCATGAAATGAACAGGTGATACGAATGTTTTGTAAGTAGATTTTTAATATGAAGTCAAATCCATTAGTACTTTAAGCATATTCAAGTAAGGACAGAAAGGTGATTCAGTTGAAAAAAAAAGTGCTCTTACAGGGAACCTAGGTTTTATTTCCAGTATCCACATGGTGGCTTCCAACTGTTCATCACTCCATTTCCAGGAGGTTCAACACTCCCTTCTGCCTCTGTGGGCACCATGTGTGCTTTCAGTGCACTTACATACATGCAGGTAGAATACTCATACACAAAAAAAAATATTTAAAGAAAATATTGAAGTATTTGTTCATAAAGTAATACATATTAACTACTATCAATCTCTCTCTTCAAGGGCCTTAAATTAATAAATCCTGAGTCTGGGAAGGTATAGTACCGTGGGTAAAGTGCTTGCCATATGAGTATGAAAATGGGAGTTCAGCCGGACGTTGGTGGCATACACCTTTAATCCCAGAACTCAGGAGGCAGAAGCAGGAGGATCTCTGTGAGTTCGAGGCCAGCCTGCTCTCCAGAGTGAGTGCCAGGATAGGCTCCAAAGCTACACAGAGAAACCCTGTCTCAAAAAACAAAAAAAAGGGGGGGAGGGGAGTTCAATCCCCAGAAAGATAAAAAACCATAAGTAGGTATGGCGATACAAGCTTGTAACCCCAGTGCTGGAGAAGTAGATAGGCAGATCTGTGAGCTTGCTGGTCAGCCAGTTTAGGCTACTCAAAGAGCTTCAGGCTTAGTGACAGAGCCTGTCTCCAAAATTATGGTAAGTAGCACCTAAGGGACAACTCCCAAGACTTATCTCTAGCCTCCATATGCATGTGCTTTCACATGCAGATACTGAACAAAAACATAAGGAAACAAAATCACATTAAATAGAAGATATGAAATAGAATTGTTCAATGAGCTAGAACAACAATCCACTGTAAGAAAGTTTCCTTGTTACATTTGTGCCTTCTGGGGGAAAGGATGAAATGAATAGATACATTTTATTGTTTCAAAACACAACCATAAAGTAAAAAATGTAATCAATTACTTCAAATTTAATATTTCTTTAAAAGATACCATAAATAACATTTATAAATGACACAACCTCTGAAAATCTTTAACTGATAAGAAACTCAAATTCAGGATTTTTAAAAGATAACATTATAGTTATACATTACCAAAAATGTCAACAACCAATTTGTAGAAAAGTAGAATAATGTAGTTCTAAAAATACTGAAGAGTGACCAAATTAATTCATGTCTAAAATAGTAAAAATGAGATATAACTTTACACATTTTCAGACCCAGAATAGAAGTAGTAAAGAAACGATGTCCACAAGAGAATCCTTGTGCACCTTAGCAATACTTACACCTGTGAGGCAGGAACAGACGTCATTGGAAGATGCTCAGCCAAGCTCAATGTGTATGAATTGCACTCAAAGTCTTTGTCTTTAAGAATGTATCTCAGAGACATTTCTCTAGGAAGGCACATAGGTTATTATGAAAGATAGACACCTTTTAGTCAGAGCTACTGAAAGTGTGGTCCATAGAGCAGCATAACATCTGATACTTTGTGTTACCAAGCCATGATGGTATGAATAAAGAAGTGAAATGGATCATTTAAAACTATGATAGACTTCTGGCAACTCTGAAATCTTTTTATTATTTTTACAAAAATATTGGACTACAGTAGATTGAGAATTGAGAGAGAATATGAACATATGACATGTAGCTGTTTGGTTTTGTTTTTTTGTTTTTCTTGCCTTGTTTTGTTTTGAAGATAGGGTTTCATATGCCCCTGAATTTTCTTGATTCTACCTCCCTAGTGTTGGGATTACAGATGTGACCCACTGTGCCTAGCTCCTCATGTTAGCCTTTAAAACCAATTATGAGTTGTAGTACAGAAAGTGTTCTTAATCTTATTTTGAAACCAAACATGGTAGAATATGTTCAAGGACACCACACTCAGCCTTCTCTACTCTTCTTTTTTTTTTGAAACCCTTTAGCTGATTTTTAATGCTTTTTTTACTAAACATGGAAGAAAATAATGGCACCACAGTGACTGAATTCATTCTTTTGGGATTTGCTGGGCAACACAAGTCTTGGCACATCCTATTCATAATATTTCTAATGATTTATGTTGCCACACTCATGGGTAACATTGGCATGATCCTACTCATCAAAACTGATTCTTCCCTTCATACTCCCATGTACTTTTTCCTCCAACACCTAGCCTTTGTTGATCTCTGTTACACCTCAGCTATCACTCCCAAGATGTTGAAAAACTTCATAGAGACAAAAGCATCCATCTCCTTCACAGGATGTATGTTGCAATTGCTAGCCTATGGTACCTTTGCCACCATCGACTGTTTCATTCTGGCTGCTATGGCTGTGGACCGCTATGTGGCCATCTGTAACCCACTGCGCTATCCCATCGTCATGTCCCAGAGACTCTGTCTTCTGCTGCTGGTTGGTTCATACACCATGGGCTTCTTAAATGCTTCTGTAAACACAAGTTTTACATTTTCACTGAACTTTTGCAAATCCAATGCCATTAATCATTTTTTCTGTGATGAACCTCCCATTCTTGCCCTGTCGTGCTCCAGTATTGATTTCAGCATCATGCTACTGACTGTCTTTGTGGGGTTCAACCTGATGAGCACTGTGTTAGTTGTTGTATTTTCCTACATATACATCTTGGTTGCCATCTTGAGGATATCTTCTGCTGCAGGAAGGAAGAAGGCCTTCTCCACATGTGCTTCCCACCTGACCGCAGTCACCATTTTCTATGGGACTCTCTCCTATATGTATCTACACCCACATACCATCGAATCTCAAGAGCAAGAAAAGGCAGCTTCTGTATTTTATGGCATAATTATCCCCATGTTAAACCCCCTAATCTATAGCCTGAGAAACCAAGATGTGATAGAAGCCTTTAAAAAGATAGGAAAGAAGTACTTATAATTTGAGCATCCATTTGTAACTCAAGATGGTTTGTTAAGCAAGCCACCAGTGCCCTGTTACTTTGCAACCTCAAATATTATGACACATGTTGAGTTGAGACACATGACTTGAAGACATTGTTTCATTATATCAATTGTATTCAAAAGGTATAACAAAACAACTTGAATAGTTAAATAAAGTAACTTTGATTCCAAATTATCAACAACTGTCCAAAACAATGTGTTCAGTGTTGCTTTTGTGATTCATGAAAATTTTTATTTAATTTATTTAAATAAAGAGAGAGTGTGTGTATGCTTCATGTATGCTTGTGCCTGTAGAAGCCAAACAAGAGCATCAGATCCCCTGGAGCAGTTGTGAGCCACCCAATGTGGGTGCTGGAAACTGAAATGGGTACTCTACAGATGCATGCTTAACTGCTGTGCCATCTCTCAAGTCCCACTTTTGTGCATTTTGAATAGTTTTCTCTTTATAAACATCTGCCAGAAAAAAATAAAATTAAAGTAGGTCTATGTGAAGTGCTTAATAAGTTTTACATGCATACTTTTATTATGTAGGCTATAGTGATGAGAAGGGGAGGGGCATGTGATCATTGCTTGATATTGTTGCTCTTCATATTTACTTATAAATCTTCTGTTTGCTATTGTAAAGTAAAATTTGAAAGATCATTTCTTTGGTAAATATATATGGAAGAGAGGGGAAAGAAAGAGTAAGAATGGGTCCTCACCGATACTGGATACTAGAAGAACATATTTCTTTTCCTAACAGTTCCTCTAAGGAATTAGGAAACTGCCATAAAAGTCAGGGAGATGTATATTAATTTCATCCCTGCTGAATACATCCTGAGTAGTTTCCAGCTGTCTACTCACACACACCTTGAGAGGTCTACAGCTTAGGAAAATAAAACTAAATACTAATTTAGTACTACTTAGCAGAAGTATTTACCCAGATTGATGCTTTATTTCCCTTAACATTCTCTCCCAAAAATCACAAGTTATATAAAAGACCAGGCTTAAATCTGGAAGTAAAATATGTACTGCTATTCTTGTCATTTGGAAAAACAAACATAGTAGGATTTTTCAGAATAGTTATCAATCATCAGGCCATCCAGCAACTAAACAAAGTAACTGAAAATACGTGTTCTAACACCGTTCTGGGTCTCAGTAGTGAGTGAAACCACACAGAGGAGCAAGAGTATAGGGTGTAGCTTGCTACATTTCCCAATGTTTGTAGAAGGTTCAGACTCATAGTCTGAGGTGGGAATGTGGAATAGTCATCCAGTCATAATCCAAACACTGACAAGAGAAATTAAATGGTACCAGCCCATGAAGCAAGGTGTATTCCAGGAAAACAATCCCAAAATTAAGACACTCTAGGGTTACATAACGTTGCTGGTGACTTGTTTGCCTAGATCTATTGAGATAAGCCTTGTTTCTTCTCTGACACAAATAAATCTTCTCTACATGGGAAAAGACAAACCTGCATTAAACACATCATCTCTGGGAAGGGAGACAGTGCCACCTTCTACTACTCTGTCACATGCTCTCATAAAAAGTGCTCCTCTTTTTGCACTACTAGAGATTGATCTGAGAGCAGAGCACACTGAAAACATCTACCATTGAACTAAACTACCAGCCATCTTATTTGGGGGTTGTAAAATTATTTGTGTTTCAAGTATGAATTCTTTTTCAGATATAAACATAGATTAATATTACATATAATATACATGTGGTATATGCATAATTTGGAATATTTTCTCCCAATATGAGTATATGCTTTCCTTTTATTAATGAGTTGTGGACATTTCTTCTATATTTTCTATCAGTTTTAAAATAAAATATACATTTATATTTAACATCCATTAGGACCTGCAAATTAACATCAGTGTGTAGTATGGGATAAATATTCAGGTTCACTGTTCCCTTTCTATAAGATATATATTACTGTTATGTATATGTGTTTGTGTAGATATGCCACATGTGTATAGGTGCCTATGAATGCCAGAAGAAGTTGTTTGGATTCTTTGGGGGCTGTAGTTACAAGCAGTTGTGGCCACCCAAACTCAGATCCTCTGGAAAAGCAACAAGTGCTGTTAACTGTTGAGCCATATCCCCTGCCCCCAACTATTTTCTTTATTGCCACCCAGTCTAACAGCAGATTTTTTAAAAAGACAAACACTTCATCATTGAATATTCTTGACCTTAGCTAAAACTTCAATTTATTATACTGTTGACATATTTTCCTGCTATTTTCCCATTGGTAAATATGACTGTCCTGTTTTATTGAGAGGCAATTTTATTTACTATTGCATTACTCTTAGCCTTAAAACTATTTGTTGCTGTTCCTTCATCTTTGGTCTTTTAGGGGAATGAAAATGTACTAGACTTAATTATAGAAATTGTTTGGCCTCAATAGATGAATGGATCAGGAAAATGTAATACATTTACATGGAATATTATCCAGTGTTTTGTTTTGTTTTTTTACTGAAATTCACCAGTAAATGGATAGGACTAGAAAAGAAATCATCCTTAGTGAGGTAACCCAAACCAAAAAAGACAAATATGCATCTATTCTCTTATACTTGGATGTTAAGCTTTTAAGCATTCAATAAGCATGCTATTGTCAGTAACCACACAGGTTAGGTATAGAGTAAGGAACGAAGCAAGAGGTGAGGATCTCCCAAGGAAGGAGAGTATAATATAGAATAGAATATATAGTATGTAATAATACAGTACAGAATAGAATATATGGCAATACAGGAGAGAGATTGGAACAGTTGGATTAAACAAGAGGAGGAAAGATGAGAGTAAAGACAGTAATTCAAGGATGGAAGGCTAACACTGAGGGCCATTTTAGGGGTCATACAGAAACCTACTACAATTGAAGTTTCTTTAAATATATGTATATATATTTATTATATACTTATATTATATATATATATATATGAAAGAAATCTAAATACAGTCACAATATAATGTGGGAGAGAAAGCCCCAACTGACATCTTTTGGCCAGAAAAACCTCCTGTGCCAGGGATGGATTACATCTAATTGAGTTGTTGGCCAAAGGGATCCCATGGAAAGCCCCAAACAACTCAAGCTTAAGTGTGATCTGTATATCAATGAGACTCTCTTGGTTATTGATTGTTCTCCAAAAACTGATAAAGGCACTATAGCTGAAGACAACACTTACATATCTCACTAAATATGGAAAGGTTAAACTGGAGCCTAACTAGAGCCTTCACCCCTACTAATTAGTGTCCATGGTACTGGAAAGTATTCTGCATGCTGCTAGATGAGAAAGGCAAATACCAATCCAGCCATAAACCTTCATGGGTCACCTTCTACACTGGTGACCCATCTTCATGCTACAGTGGTACAATGGTGAAAGAAATGTCGTGGGAGGAACGAAGCACTCTCTGATTGGTTTTGAGGCCCACTCTATGAGATAGAACCAATGCCTGGCACTGCTAGAGTGGCCAAGGATCTGAGACTAAACCACACATTTGAACTTACAGAGATGATGGTATCATTGACATGGCCTCCACAGGTCTAAATCAGACAGGGTCCCTACACTGAGGTGGGAAATGAACATAAACATGAGCTCCAATCCCCAACCAAGAAGCTATCTCCAATTAGCAATTGCTCACAAAGGAATGAATTACTTTCTCCAAGAGAGTCTCATTGGTATACAAATCACACTTAAGGGCAGGCACCACGCCCAGCAGCAGACAGCCAACACCAAATGAACTAAAAGGTACATTCGGAAATTTTTTTTTTTGGCCTCATATTGCATTGTATGAGCATTTATTTTTTTACATTACTGGTATTTACGCATACATATTATGGTTTCTGTTTTTGTGTTTCTGTGGGTGAGTGTGTGATAGTGAGTTTGCACACATTTGTCATTTTCTGTGCTCTCTGTTTTTTATCTGTTTGTAGATTTGTATATTGTGTTTTACTCATATTTGTTTTTCTTTTCTTTTTATTTTCCTGTTTGTTTCCTTAAAAGAAAGTGAAATAAGGCATGGGGTTGGAAAGGTGGGAGAGTAGAGAGGATCTGGGAGGAAATGAGGGAAAGGAAACCACGATTAGAATATATTGGATTAAAGCCCTTTCCACCGACCCATCAGCAACTAGGTGAGTGACCCCCTGCTTTTACCCAACTCCTGTCCAAAGCGCCATTCACCCAGATCTCCCCTGGCTTGTACCTGCTTGAAATAGACATGCCCAGGCAGGGAGGAGCTCCCTGAATCTGTGTACAGGCCACTCTTCCTTCCCTTCCCGGCGACCGATCCGCTAGGAGGTGAGTGATCCACCGCTCTTACCCAACTCCCTTTCAAAGCCCCATCCACCCCGATCTCCCCAGGCCTGCTCCTGCTTGGGGTAGACATGCCCAGGCAGTGGGGAACCCCCAGAGCCTGGAAACACCCCACTCTTACTTCCTGTCCTGCCCACACACACCCAGTCCCTATGGAGCCCTAACTCCTTCAGAGTGAGGAGACTACCAGGAGAGGCAAGACCATCCAGAGCTTCGGACATTGAATTCCTGGCCCACACTACTGTGTAACAAGAGGAGAGATAGAGACCCCATCTGCACTCACTGGAAAAAGATATGGGAAGAAGACAGAATAAGAACTCGTTCAACAACAGAAAGACAAATATGACACCACCAGAATCTAGGGACTCCACTCCAGCAAGATCTGAAAAGCCCAACACAGTGTATGAAGAAGAGATGGACCTCAAAAATTATCTCAGCAAGATGATAGAGACCTTCAAAGAGGAAACAAGAAAATCCCTTAAAGAAATAGAAGAAAAAGCCAGCAAAAAAATTACATGAAATGGAGGAAAAGACAAACCAAAAAATTCAAGA